TTGAAAACTATTGTATAATGCATTGTGCCCTAACTGCATTTGTACCTTCAAATACTTATCCACTTCTTGGATGATAGAAATGTTTGCAAATTGTTAATTCATTTAGAGGATATCGCATCTGAGAACTGTTTTACGATATATTTTAGTTCAAATCCAGATGTGATTTAGAGCAATTTGCCATTACAGAATGCTAGGAAACTATTTGATATATTGAAATAACAATCCTACATATTTATTCTTTTAATTTACTCTCACCTGAGCGTTTCCTATTTTTAACGCGTCTCTGTATTCTATTTAAATAAGACTATGCCCATTTCCTTTTATGTTTTTTTTTACTTATTTTGCGAGAACACTTAACAATCATTTATCATCAGTTATATTTTAAACTTTAAATTTTTGGCTAATAATCTCATTTAAAATTCAGAATTAGTAGCCAATTCTGTTATGTTATGTTGTAACATATTTCACATAAATCTTACTGATTTTGTCTTCATTAAAAAAATAAAACGGAAGACCAATGAGTTTATATATATNTCTTTCATTGTGTTTATTGCGTAATCACGGCCTCTTCAAAACATCCCGAGTCTAATACGAAACTACTAATTTATCTAGAGAATTTCAGATTTGTAAATCATTTTATAATAATACATTCCTAACTGCATTAGAATACTTCACCAATACTCAAATTAGTGCATCTAGATTGAAGATTTTTTTTTTTTGTAATGAGTTTGTATTAATTATATTTGTGCAAATCCGAAAGCGAAATTGGTAAACAGTTGAGATAAGTAATTTGCTTAACATTGTGAAATTGCAGATAGATCAGAATGTTTGAAATGCTTAACTCTTTACAATCGGTACAAAATTGAGTTTTAAAAACTACCATGCTGTCGTTACTTATATCACTTGCTAATGCCAACAAGTCTGCTTGAAATCAAACGAATTATTATGACTCGGGGAGCATTTCTTGTTTTCTCATTGACACCATCTATGGGCAATGCGACTTCAGCCAGACACACGTCAAAGCGCGTTTTACAAGGGGGACCCCAATCTTACTCCAGTCGTTCATCCATAGATAGTGATTTAACTCTGAACCAGACATCGATCAATCTCCAATTCAGTACCACCAGAGGTATTGATTTTAATTAGAATTTGGGGGACTTTGTGACTCAGTCAGATTTAATGTGCACCAGTCACCGTTTAATACACGAGGATTATTCGGTTTTCGGGAATCGAACTCGCTTTCTCACGAACACGAGCCTAACTATCTACAGACAAGATTTTTAATTATAGAAATGTATCATTTTTAATATTATTTCGTTAAATAATAGTTAAAGGATACCTATTATGATTAAAAACACGAATATATTTAATGCGGTGGTATAGTTTTGAAATATTAATTCCTCCGAATTACGATAAACTTGAGAATACGTTAAAATACTAATTCTGTCTGGAGAATTTCTAAACAATTTGATTAAATTCTGTATGTGAAATTATTGGTTTTAAAACGCAGTTGTCTTTTCAGAATTTATAAATTTTTTTAAAAATTTTCTTCATTGTTGCTTCTTTTAAAATTTGATTTCAATAAAAATTAATTTCATGTTCACTGTTGAAAGAATTATTGTAAAATAATGAAAATAAACTTTTCCTTCCGAAAAAGGGAAACGGATTTTACCCTTTCAATATGTTTAAATCTTTTTCGAGATTTTAATACAAAATGAAATGTGTTTTCATATATTTTATCAGTAAATTCTACATTTTTGCATTTTCCTTCGAGCCAAAAAATAATTATTAGATTAGAAGAAAATATTACCCTATTTCATTATAATTTTTTAAATATCACTCCCACTAAAACTAGTTGTTGGCAAACGTTCAAAGAAATTAAGGTCATGATGTGAGTCAAGGTAAATCGGCCACATTTAGTTCCCAGGTAACCTGGTACGCAATGGTCTGAAAATAGGTAACTCTTTACTTATATAAAAAACAACATTTCATAAATTTCATCATTATCATTTTTTTTATTATATTTAATATTTATGAAGTGTAAGCATTTTTAATTTTCTTAATTTTAAAAAAATTCAAAATTAATTTTGAAATATTTGAATAACTGTTAAGAGAATTACTTTTCATTGAGAATTATAATTATTTGTTAACGAATTCAAAATGGTAAGAATTCATTCTTTATTCTTATTCCGTAAAATTTAGTTCTATGTTATTATTTCATGCCTTTAGAATCCCATACATTGTTTGAATTCTTTTATATATCTTCACCATTTCTATAACACTAAACATTTTTTCACTGTTTTGTCTTTTATATATTTCTTAACCCGCTGTTTGAAATAAACGGCAAAGAAATGAAATCAGAAAAAACACTATTACTTCCACTTATGATAACTTCTATCTTTCTGTTGCGTGTAGTTTCGTCATGTTCGTGCTACCAGGTACTAAGAACAACGACGACTCCACGCAAAACTCTTGCAAACAGTTCCCATCATAGCGTCATCATATTTATATTTGAATGAAATATGGATTCTTTAGACTTACACCATAATAAGTAACATTATCTGAGATTACTGGATGTAATAAAGTATTATTAATTTATTAAACAATGTACGGCACGTATAATGATGTCGTAAGCAAATCCCACATCCACTATAATTGAATGTGGGGGAAATTCAATATGCCCAGGTGTGGGGGATATCTGGATTATGTATTGAGGGATGATATTGGAAGTATTAATTTAAGTGGAAGGAGAAGTTCAGAATTCGTAGTTTAATGATAAAGGATTATTAAATCCAGTGACAGGATGAGTTGGTTGTTCTTATTAATTATTCAGGTTAATTGTTGAATGATGAGTAATTAGATCATATAATGGGATGAAATGGTACGATTATAAAGGTTTAATGGAAACATTGTGAATTTTTAAATACTTGTATAGATATTTGATGAAGCAAAGAGGGAATATTTAATATTGTGTGTATGTTACCTTCCAAACCAATCAGCAATTTTTATTATGAATTCTTAGAAACAGTTAAATATTTGATGTATAGATTGCTAAGAATGTGTATACGAAATGAAAAATCTATTCAGAGCTTGTCTTTAAGGATTTCCTAACTATATATGTTTTTTTTTTTTTTTTTAAAAAATTGTGTTAAAAAATATGCACATTTGATGTTTCAATAAACATTTAAATTGGGAAAATCAACAAAAAGACTTTCAAAATCAAATGAAGGTGGGACTGAAAACATCAAATTCTGAGCTAGGGGCCGAAATAGCCTGGTTGGCAGGGCATTGGGCCCATTTCTAGAGGTCATGGATTCGATCTTCGCTGGCTGATGACTCCCCGTGAAGAAAAAGGCGTCTGATGCAGGTTAAATCAGTCGAGTCACAAAGTCCGCCATGTTTCCATAACAAATTATACCACTGGGGGTACTGATTCAGGAGTTTCCTTATCATCTGGATTGGTTCAAAATTACAAAGCTACGGATTTGAATTTTAGTAGTCGTAAACCCAAAATTGGGTCGGCTATTAAACGACGGTTATAAAATTAAATAAGAATTCTGACCTAGGAGCTTCAAAAAGCGAATATGAATTATTTGAAATTATTTAATAGCGAATATTAGAGTCGTTTTTAAGTTTCATCATAAAACTAAACTTGCTCTGATATCTTTCATTTCACTTTATACATGTAAATCGGCTGGTTTCATTTATGCTTTAGTTTTATACTTTTCTAAATATTATTTGAGAACTCCGATCTACATATTTTTTTACTTAGCATTTAACAATAATTTAAAAAATATGAACGTATTAAGTGCCTAGTATGTATTAACCTAAAATGATGGAGCGCCAGTAAATACGACTGATTGAACCTTAATTTTATTATTCAGAGCTATGAATATTTTTCAGGAAACAAATATCTTTCAATTAACAAAGAGTGATATTCTCAATTTTACTAAAAGTCATCATGTTGTGCAATTGTATTGACGAAAAAAATAAAATGGATAAAATTGAATACGAAAATGCCAATGTTTGTGATGTTGTATTGAGCTAACCTCATATTCCTTTAATAAGATGTTGAATATACTTATTAAAGGAGTATGATATTATTTTTAAAATGAAAGTCGACATTGGAAAAAAAGCTAATGGGTATTTGTCAAGTTAAAAATAATATAACATCATAAGAATTTTGAATTTATTTTATTGAAAAAAATATTGCTTCAAATAATAGAATTAAGAACATATATGCAAACTGTGCTCGAACATAAAGCCCATACATTCATCTACCTTATCATCATCATTACGAACAGGGTTAGTCGAAACTATTTGCACTGCATAGTGAGGAAAGAGCAGCAGTTGCATTTCGAGATTAGTATTATAAACAGAACCGGAATTAAATCCAGTATTATATGTTGACCTTTCAATTTACTGTAGAGTGATTCATTTTCGTGGACTGTCTAATAATTATAAATCTAATTACTGACGTAGCCATGCCTAATTCAATAACTAAGTCGACGTCATTCAGATGACAGCCAATAACTGCGTAGGCGCATTTTCCGCGTATTCTGCCGAACTTTGCTAATATTGTTTTGATGTCAATCATATGTCAGATAGCCATCATACGCATGTGTCGCCAAGCATGTCCTGACAAGCGAGGATGCTATCAGCTTGCTGATAATAGAAGGGAAACAGTCAGATGTCAGAAGTCACATTGATCGATTTGTTTCAACTGCTGATCTTTGGGCACAGGTGTCGCAAAAGCCAGATTTGCACATAAATTAATAACTGGCCAGATGAATATAATCATAGTTTAAATGTGTTCGAATTATATACTGGCAATCGGTTTTGATAATGAAATGCATTTGTCACTATTTGGATGCACGTTCTAAACCTTTTACAAAGCATACGTTATATGCTTGAATAAAATGTTTTGTTTAGCAGCTAATTATTTCAATTAATTCATTGCTTTCATAACACATTGAATATAAAGGCGAAGCAATGGTCTTTTTAATTATTTTAGTTCTTTCGGTGTGTTGCTAATTGTGCTCAAAATCACTTTTGATAATGGAATGTATTTGTTACTATTTGAATGTACGTTTGCAACCATTTTAGAATGGATACTGTGTTTCTGAAGAAAATTCTTTGTTTAGCAGGTAATTACATCAATTAACTTATTGTTTCCGTAGTATAATGGATATAAAGGTGAAACAATTTTTTTTTCATTATTTTGATTGATCTGATGTGTTTCTATTTGTGCTCAGTATCACTTTTGATGATGAAATACATTTGGTACTGTTTGTGTGTAAGTTTTGCAACCATTTTAGAACCTGCTAATTAAAACTATATAAAATGTATAATTAATGTCATTAGGTACGAAATTATTTAATTATAATATATTAGATTATAATTAGAAAAAATGCATTCTAATTATTTTGAGTCTTTTTTTCCACTATTTGGATATGCTTTGTGGGAGTCGGATAGTTTAATTTATGTTGATCCAACACATCCAATTATATTTATTAATGTATAAATCTAAATTTAAGCAAATACATTTTTCCATGCACGTTAAAATGTATGGCTAATAACACATAATGATNGCACCAGTCAGGTGGAAAAAATGATGATGAAATTTCCAGTGGGGCTTCTAAAAGGCAAAATTTTCTATAACAATGCTATATATATATAAAAAAAGGAATGCTGTGTAGGCCGCCCCGTTAGATACACTTTCCTTTTAAATTTTCAAGTTTTAAATCAATAATGCCGTGGCGTGTCTCCGCAAAATTACAGTAGTTTAATTACAATGTAGTTTCATCTGGTGAACTCTTTGAAACTATCCTGTGTTCAAGAAATAAGACTTGACAGTAAACAGCTAAAGAAAACATTTATTAGATTAAACAATCATTTCACATGCCCAGCGTGCTCTCGTTCGATACAGCTAGCAGTTGAAGAAAATACGTGGAAAAAAAGCAATTATCGCATCCATGTCGTCACTTTTATACTCTGAAGATCTGCACCACTTCAGTTCGCTTCACCTATAGTAATCGCTACCGCAGCGACGCCACATACAGCCTAATAGTGTATGCATTATATATATATATATATATATATAATGCATTTGAATATTTAATTGATTAGAGTTTTTATTATTTCGTAAACGAACGAATAATGTCTAAAAATAGGGAGTTAGGAAATTAATTTAATTAATTGAAATCATTTAGCTAGTTGAACTTATTAAATTAATTGAAAATTAAAATCAATTACACATTTTAAACAGAATTTAGCATTTGTTTCGAGTACATACTCATTCAGACGCATAAACAATACAAAGAAATCAAAATGTGCCATGAGCAATATCTTCTAAAGAGAATAGTATGAGTACCACACAAACTGAGGATAAATAGTCACCGAAATAAAATTCTCCTTTTTGACAATTTAACATCTCTTTCAGCAATGTTTTGTTATTTTTCATAAATATGACATCCTGATGACATGGGACTTTCAGATATTTCACGCAAATGTTTCATGTCTCTTGAATGCATTCTAAATGTTTCATCTTCTGAGCATTCCGAGAATTCAACCTTTTTTTATGTGGTATTAAAATATTTCATGGCCGGATGGTACAGGGGTTAATACTCTCACTTGTCAAGCTGGTATCATGAATTTGATAACAGTTAATTACTGAATGCTCGCTTAATCATAATCATTTTATTTTATGCTGTATTTCCTTATCAATTGAATTTAACAACTTGTATTTCTGGTGAAATTGGAATCCTCGAACAGTTTCAGAAAGTAATTTATGCAATTAGAAGATGTGACATTTAAGAAAATTTAACAGTAAACCGTTTTCTCAAAATTTCGGGAATTATAAATATCCATTTTTACAGTAAACTACGTACTGTACTGGCATAATGTAGTATGCGATTTAAAGTGCTAGAAACTTAATCTAAAGCGAAAAAATAAAAGAGTTAAAAAAAAATAGTTAAAAGCAATAGTAAAAAAATAGTTTTTGAAACCCCTATTATCACTTCCCTCAAAATTAGAATTTCACAATGATCCTATGATTAATCATTTTGGATAATTGTCCATAATACATATTTTACATTAAAAAATAATTCAAACAATAATCAGTTCAGTTTTTTACCTTTATTATTATTATATATTTTCACAATGAATATATTTTATTTGCATTGCCCTAATCCGATTCTCTTCACACAAAGAGATTACGTTCCGGTACTGAAATTTGTGATATATATTTCAGTTTATTTGACATATCTGTTAGGGAAATCTAAAAGTCATGATGTATTTCTTCCTGACAGAAATGGATTACATAATTTAGACGTCAAATCAAGTGTAAAAAAGGGCGTTTCTCAACTTCCCATTTAAGACGTTTATTAAGTGCAAAAATACAAAATTAGATACAAGAATAAGGATTTACGTCTTGTAAATAGAATATTTAAATAACATCACATGAATTATATTTGGTTGCCAAGTACCATATATTTTTATACTTCAAGGTAGTATAATCCTTCACAAAAGAGAACAGAAAAATAGTTGAACTAAACTTATTTAATAATCATTTGCGTCATATGTTATGGTACATTTAATAGCATAACTTTGATTTAGTAAATTGATGTACTGATTTTTGTAAGAAAACGAAACGAACGAAGAACTTGTGACTCCAGACACTATTCTAAACACTATTATCGCAGAGCGTAGAACAAGTTTAAAAAAATTTTGTCATATTGTAAGAAACAAAAGAATTCTAAATGAAGTAAAAATTGAAGTAAAAGCACTGAAATCTATTTTTTCCAATTTCTAGTGATTGAATGATTTTGAGAAAACGTTAAAAATGTATTCACAATTCTTTTCAACGTCCTTTCCTTAATCATCTAGCATCTCAGGTAATGTCTGAGATGAACGTTAATTTCGAATTTAGAATATTTGTTGATTCGCAAGTATTATAATCTAAGTCAAATTAACAATACATAAATACCATCGTTTTATTTATAGAATAATAAAAAATTGAGAGTACATTGAATATATTTTGCATTTAACTTTGATGATTTTTTCAAGGCTCTCAAAAATGTAAATTATAAGTATTATACTGATATTCTGTACATAATTATTTAAAAAGGAGTACAATAAAAGGAATGAAAATCAATTGTTGATGAACAAGCAAAAAACAAGTTTTTATTAATTTTTGTTTTCTTGTTTTCATCAAATTTTGCTTAATACTCGGAAACGTGATTAACAAAATTTTGCTATTTATATTTTTTAATTCATATTTTGTTTTTTTTAATATCCAAAAATCAAAAGAAAATGCTTTTAATTTTTAAATTAAAAACATTTTCTTTTGATTTTTGGATTTTTACAGCAAGTAGATGGCTTTCACATCAACTGCAGTTTAGAAGAGATTGATTGATATGCTTTAAATTTTTTTTATTAAAACATCTGTCACACTTTTTTAAGATACATTTACATCATTTTGCATACAGGCATTATTAGATACTAAGTTATACTACAAAGCGCTGTTTCAAAAAGCCGCTTTTTTTCAGATTTTTGCATGCACATCCCTTTCAAAAAATTTAATCCCTGAATAAATATATCAAACATATTAGTTTAATATCATAACAACACGTTTAATAACGTAAAATATGCTATGTTTGTTTTCACATTGAAGGCAATCTTCTCTAAAATGCAGATATGTATCTAATATTAAATTTTCTACTGCATCTTTAAATCCCCAGAGCGCAAATTGAATGCATTTTATTAAGGTATTCTTTAAACAAAATACAGCCTCTAGCGAAAGCTGCATTTGATCATTTGATTCAAAACCAAGCAAGAATCAAATGCAAAAAACTCAGTAATCTGTTTTTGAAATGGATTTCATTTTTCAGAGTACATTTAGAAAACTTTTCGATCATATTTTGCACTGTTGGTCGAATTTCAAATGCAGTACTGCGATATTTGAAATTTTAGTGAGATTCTTTACTTTAGTGAAACCTAAATTTTTTTATTCCTTTTCCTTGGAGAATCCTACATAGATTTTGAAATCATTTCATTGATTTGAAATGGCAACATTTGAATTTTTCTTTCTTTTTTTTTGCGTTCCAATTTTAGTTATTTCAATTTTAAGCACGATATAGGTATCGCATTATTTTCGAGAACTCAAATCAAAACTGCTCGTAACATTTATAAAAGTAACTTTTTTTAGGTTTTGATGTAATACATATCATATCAAGGTATCTCAATCAGTATTGATTTCGATATATAAGAAATTTTTTTAAACACATATGCTAAAATTTAGGCAAAATATCAAAAACTTGTTATTATTTTTTTTTGAATTTTTTTTGTTTCAATTTTAAGCACATTAAAGATACTACATTTTTTCAATTATGTAAATCACTGGTTATAACTTTTATATATAGTTTTTGATATAGATATAACGTTTTTGATATAAATATAACGTTTTTGATATAGATATCATGTCAAGGTATTTCTGTAAATGTTTCAGAATCCTTAAAAAAATCAAATAAAGCAAGAATTAATAGAAAAACAACACAAGGTAATCAACATTGAAATGAAGAAGAAAAATGAGCGAGAAGATTTTCGTAAAGTCTGATAGTAAGTGGATTTTTGTTTAGATCAGATGTTTTGCTTTATGGTTTCTTCTAGCCCATTACGGGTATTTTAATTCATTTTCGTGTGATGTGTGGTTGATGTTTTAAATAAATATATTGTTTTATAAAACCCATTTCTTCAGTTTAGCTTGATTCGGTAGAGTAGTGTTAACAGTATAAGAAATATTTTCAAAATTTTGTGTTAAAATAATGGAAATAACTTATCCCTATTAACTTATACATAAATCGTTGCTCGTAATCACTGTTCACAGTTGTATCTTTATTAAATTTTGATATTATATATATCATATCTAGGCATTTCGATTAGTGTCTTAGGGTCTAAAAAATTCTTCCAACACAAGCATTAATCGAAAAACATAAGGAAGAAATCAAACAAAACCAAGAAAAAAATAGAAAAACGAGAGAATTTTTTGGAAGGTCGGAGAGTGAAAGGATTTTTTTGTTAAGATTAGGCTTTTTTTTTGGTATTTAAAATTTGTACTAACTCATTATGGGTATTTCAATTTATTTTTCCTTGTTGATGTTCCAAATAAATATTGTTTTATTAAAACTGCCTCTTTAGTACAGCTTGATTCTGTGAAGTATAGATAACAATATACGAAATTTTTGTTAAAATAATACAAAAAACTGAAATATTTATTTTTTTCACATTTTACTTTTTCTTAATTCAATGTACTGTAAAATTATCACATTCTTTTTTTCAATCACTCTAATGAAAACTGCTCATAAAGTTTATAAAGTTTTCATTAGGCTTCGATATTATAGATGCCATATAAAGTTATCTATTTGTATTAAAAACAAAGTGAAAAACTTCTTCAAATTTAGTTCTTAAAATTTAGGCAAAACACCACTTAAGACTGTAAGTATGGTATTTTAAAATTTTCAAATACGCGTAACCATTAATAGAAACATTGATTTCCAAATTCTTTTTTATAATTTTAATCAAATTAAAGAATATATATATATATATAAAAATCAGAAATGCTAATTCCTCTTAAATTTTATCAATTCTTATGTGTGTGTGATTGATATTGAATTTATCAGAACGAGTATATAATGTGAGATATTTTTTTCATCGTAAAAAAGTAGAAATTTGCATGCAAAACTCTTTGAAGACTCTGCCACTTCTGAGAAATAAGATAAAAATTTTTTAACATGTTTATTTGATTATATATANAATCAATTATCGATTTAAAAGAAACTTTTAAAAAAAAATCAAAGAAATGCACAAAGAAAACGCTGGAAATGGAAAGGGCAAAGTTGTTCCTTTCTTCATTTAGAACTTTTTAAAGTTCTATTTCCCGATAACGATAAAGTAATTTATATATATATATTTAGATTTTTATTTAGGTATATTAAATTTATTCCAGAAACATAATTTTCAGAAAAATTAATATTTTTTTCGATTTTATGAATGGGTTTGATTTGATAAGTTGCTCAAAGTCTGTGAAGAAGTGCATATCGTTATTTCTTTTATTTCATACTTTGTATATCTTTATAGCAAAAATGTAGAAAACTACTTTTCACAAAAGTGGTGTTCTAATGGGCGTTCTTTTACACCAAAACGTAGCAGTGGAGTAGTTCGGAAAGACATAGAATGTTCTCTGTCACTGCTTGGTGTAAAACAGCTGACATCATATTTTGTATTTAGTAGTAAGACAATTTATTATAACAGTAGGGTATGATTAACATGAGTCAGAAAAAATATTTTTACGATACAATACAAAGTAAGAATCATTAATTTAAGATGCCTACAAACATTAATTCATGAATTAAAATTAGTTTTATAAATTAAACATCACTAATTTTCATTAAGTGTAGCACATACATAATATTTAGATGAATTCGAAAAGAAACTTAATCGAACCGGATAGAAATTCAACATTATAAAATTACTTATTACAAGTCATTGAGATATAAAAAATTAAAATATAAATATCATACAATCAGAAACATATATATTTTAACGGAGATTTTTCTTCTTATACTGTAAAAAACTTAAGCGTATATTAACCAAAAATGGTGGCAACTAATTTACACAGTAGATTATAGCCACAGACAATTCTTGATACTATGTGTTTCTCAACACCAGGAATATTTTTTTTACACTACTTGATGTAAAGAAGTTGCCCCCCTTTTTTATGAACAATAGTACTAAAATTTATAATTAGAGTATGAATAGATGAACTTAAAAGTCAGTATAGTCTTTCTACGAAAAAAATATTAAGTATTAATCATTAATTTAAAGGGAATCTTATACACTAAGTCTTAAAATAAAATTTACAAATCTGGTATTAACAGAGAGAATATGAATAACTAGGCTTAACAAAACGGATGCACCATTTTTTTTAAATTAAAAATTTTATATAGACAGAAAAGATTGATATAAAAAATTTTATAGCCATCAGACACCAGGACAATTTTGTCATTTCACTGCAACAATTAAACAATACGAATGTAATATTAATTATGTGTGTTATTAAGGACACAAAAATGTGGTCGTTTGGCATGCATGCAAAATGTGGTATTTTTCACCTTTCTGATAAAATTTATAATAATCAGATATTTATAATGATTCCAATTAAATTTATGATAATCCAATACGAATGAGAAACTTCCCATTTGCAGTTTCTCGGGATTTTTCCAGACGCAACAATCAATCATTCTGATTGCTTAGATGAAATTAAATTGAAATCTGGTAAATTGTCTATTTATAAGTAAGTACATTCAAGCATGTTAAATTCATCTTAAGAAATGAGTGTAACAAACTTTTCACTGATTCTTTTACACTACTGAAAACAAACACTTGTAAAAATCATTAAACTTTTACTTGTTTATAGTTTCTAAAACAATTTGATAACATTTATGGCTGCATTTCAAGGAACTTTTACAGAAGCACTCAAATAAAACCGGAATTGGTTTGCTCAAACACCGAGAAAAGTTAACTGTACTCTTATTATTTCCGCACCTTTGATGGAGAAGCAACTCTTAAAAAAATAAGCACTGAATTCTTTTGCGAACCTCTCTATTTCCAGAACAAATTTTTTTTGTTCGAAGTTCTTTTTTTGCAATTTCTACTCTCAGAGGTACCTAATGACAATTCACTTAAAACGATAAAAAAAGCACCCCCCCAAAAAAAATTGGTAGAAGCTCTCAGGATTAATCAATTATCGATTTAAAAGAAACTTTTAAAAAAAAATCAAAGAAATGCACAAAGAAAACGCTGGAAATGGAAAGGGCAAAGTTGTTCCTTTCTTCATTTAGAACTTTTTAAAGTTCTATTTCCCGATAACGATAAAGTAATTTCTATTCGTTTATATGTAGTGCAGTAACGTGTTTTACGTTTCATCAGTCTTAATGGCATTAGTTAAATTTCGTAAAATTGAGGTCATTTAAGCACTAATTGTTCAATTTGTCAAGATAGAAAGAAAAAATCAGGAGTTCACTCTTTGACGTAAAATTATTATTTACAGCATTTTTTGCGTTTTGAGTTTTCGAGTTTTTTTGCATTAATTCAGGGCAAAATAAAAGAAAATTATTAAATAATATATAATAATATAAATAATATTTATTTAATATTAAGCATAATTTTAATAATTTATAGTTATGATATACATCATGAAACACCGGTGTCTTTTCCGGGTTAAAGGTTACTCATGGTCTACCCTCTGAAGGGATGAAAAGCTGATCTCTTACTCTAACATATACATTATATATTTTCGATTTTCTAAGATAATGTTAATCTATGCATTGTATAGGCACGAGTTATACAGTTCCTGTATCATGCATTTATAAAATATAATTTTAAAATTACATAAAAATTAATCTTACATAAAAGAATAATTTAATTAGACTAATGAAGTGAGGAAAACATATGGTAAACAATACCGGAATAAGGAAACATTTACCGTATTTCTGGCCCTATGGGTACACCAAGAATCTTTGTAATTTTTATCGCAGGCCTTCGGAAATGGTTTTAGTAAAATTAACGATAAAATTTGGTTTATAATATGTGAACAAATTTGGCAAATGTGGCAAAATTTGATATTTGTATCATGGTACCTTAGAGCATGACATTAAAACCATTCATTCGGTTAAATTTACTTCTAAGCGTTGTATTTTTTATTTAATGCGAGGTAATAAGAAGTATAATTTTTAAAATTAGAATTTTCAGTAAAAATTAACATTCAATTAGCTAATAATTGAATATGAATTGTTTTAATTTTACAATTGTTTAAATAATTATGCCTTTATCAAAACTATTTATTTTCCACAGAATCTCTTTCTCTGAAATAAATAATATATAAACTAAACAAAACCATTACATTAAGAACAAACAAAAAAGGATGGTTTAAGTACTGTATATTTTAGTTTTATTACCAGAATTACGTTTTTACATCCGAATATTTCCATTCAGAGCGGTAATTTTACTATCATTTTTTCTTCGCACGCTAATGAAGTATTTTGTGAACTTTAATGCATGCAATTTGTTTTGATGGATTATTTGAAATATATTATAAGTTTTTATTAAGAAAAACATGCATTAGTTTAAAAAAAAAAGTCAGAAATGTAAGTTATGATCCTAAAAACGAATCAAAAACGTAAAAAAATATCTGTAAAGATTAATAATTTTTCAATATAAAAGCAATTTTAAAATTAAACAGTTTGCTTAGAATGCTTCAAGAAAGTTTGAGAAATGGCCAAGGGCAACAAATCAATAACATTTATTCGTATACTGGAAGAGTATCTTAAAAAATATAGCATCCAAGAAGCCCCTAAGAAATACATCTTTCTTTAAAAGACTTTAAATTACTTGAAATTTATGGTAATAGACCAGATGCATTTCGTGCTTTCTTCCCGGGTAGTTCCTTATTTTGTTTTATTTTTTCTCACCCCAGATATATTCTATTATAGTTTTCATTCGTTTTCAAGGCAATCTCAGCTCCAAGAGATGATGCGGAATTGGTTTTGTTCCAAATTTCAGTCTTTCCAAAACATAAAATTGCTACGTTAAAAATGCGATGCCTCTTAAATGGTTTGGCAGATAAATTAGATTCTTTTCTTGAAACTGCATAAAATAAACAAAAATCAAAAAAATTCAATTTTTTACTTGCATGTATTGTTTTTATTATTATACACCGTACGAAATTGCTACTCAAATTTCACGAAACATTCTCCGTTTTTAACGAAACCGTTTCATTGGCGTATGCTCCGAACAAAAACTTCGTCAAAATGGAGAAATAGCAATCGCCACTTCTTCGAGGAAATTAAATTTGTTAAAATTAAAAAATTAAACAAATACTCCGTCATTCTAGTTCTTTTCACACAAAAAAACCTTGTAACGCCCAATGTATCAAATTTTTTTCTAATAATTACTTTATTGTGGGCACCATATAGGTGTGTATCAATGTTGTCCAATCATCACAATAAGGATTGATGGAGCAGAGAGATAAATTTCTACCATTCCCTAAGCGAGATTTGAACCCGAGAACGTTTTGGTACGAGGCCACCTCCTTGAACACCATACATACCGGTCGACTTTATTGTCACTTTATTCTCAATCGCCTAATCTTCATTCTTGTTTCGTCATTTTTAGTTAGCAATCTCAAAAAGATGAGGTTCCGTCTTTAAGGAAGCATTTTCGTCGTATATTTGAGAGTTATCGTTCGTCACAAATCACGTGCTTTTACGTTACAAACTTGACGCGCTTAAATGGTTTCGTAGATAAATTTCATGATTTTTTGAGACTTCATGAGATAAATAAACTCAATTTTTAACTTACAATTATTCGTTTTGTTTCTAAATGTTTTGGATTCATTAGCGAATATTTAATACTCCGCTATATGAGTATACTATTTTTGCGAATTTATGAACACCAATAGCATACTTAAATTTATTTGGTAGACTAAGTTTAATATCTAAAGCAGTTAATTCAGTATATTAACTTGGGTAACGAAACAGCTTGCAGCATTTAGTTAAATTTTTAAGTTGTGCACAGAAAGGCTCAGTCCAAAATTCTGTATAAAGTTAACACCCCAAAAGAGGCAAACAGCTTTTTAATTGTAGTATTTAAAGTAATAGTTGCACTGAAGTAAAAGTAAAACAGAGTTTGTGTAATTTTTTTAACGTCTAAAAACTTAGTACTCCGGATACTTTAAAAATCCTTTGTTTACTTAAGATTAATTAAAAGACTTATTACTGATTTATCCTCTTTCATATTTAGTAAAAGTAAAGTATTCCTACAGCAGCCCATTGTGGGCCAGGGGTTCATGAAGGTAAAGGCTCACAATTTCGTGGCCAACGAAATGATTGTGGTAATGTGATCAGCACTGGCAATAGACCACCTTTACTTCCCAGACAAGTTGGTAAACATCGATCTGAAGCTAAGTGGGCTTCAAACCTCCATCGGGGATCGAACTCCGGTTCTTTACAATGAAAGGTGAATGCCTTAATTCGTGAAGAATCGCGGCTTTACTTTTATATTAAAACACCATTTAATTATAAATTGCTAGTTTACCGAAAATAGTAAGAGCTACGATTAAATTTAATAAACATTTAAATGTGATATTATTTGTTTACATATTCAAATTTCTACCTGCATTTCATTTCTTACTCTATATAAACAAACTTAAAAACCATCAAACCTTATTAAGAATTAAAATACTTAGAATTCAGCCCGAACTTGTTATTTTAATCATTAATGATGGAAACTCAATATAAGAGTAGATTTTAATAATCTTCTTGACTTCAGAGTTGTTTACAGCAGTTAGCGATAAGTGTTTTCATATCAAAAATGAGATAAATACAGGATTTAATTCAATCACAGATTCTTGCGTTTTAAAGTAAAAGCTTTCATCCATTAGGTAATGAGATATTTTCTTTAAATTTTGATTATTTTTGTAAGCAAGAGTTTATTTCAAAAACATTTAATCCCCAAAATATGCTGAAAATGTTCTCGTTACAGTTTTAAAACATCCGTTTTAAGAACTGAAATTAAGAAATAAAAATTCTTTCGAAGTACTTAGTAAGATTAAAGGCATTTTGCTGAGAGCTTCTGTCAAGTGAAGATTGAATTTTTAAAATTTTTCTGTGAATTTTCCTTTAAAGAAATGAACATAAATTTCTCCCGAAATTAGATATTCTATTTAAGAAACTGCGTTTCAAAATCGTCAAAGAACTTGGTTTTTATTTTGTGTTTGTTGACACTTTTATATTTTGTGTTTTACAAAGTTATGAGTGTTATTCGCGTTAGTGAAATAAATGTTTAGCATTTTTGAACGTAAAAGAACTTTTTATTTGGACTTTAATCCTTCTAATTTTTCTACCAAGACAAATAAATTCATCTTAAAAATGGTATGTTGATTCCATTATTTTAATTGATTATCTTTAAAATCTAGATTATCTTTTATTGATTTAATTTTTTTTTTCAGAAATAAACTGAACATAGGAAGATGGGGCATTGTTTTCAACCGAGTTTCAAGCTACTTCATGTAAAAGTTACTACCATAAATTACGTATTTCAATAGTGGTATTATATTATAGTACGTATTTAGTTTATAACGTATTTGGTTTACAACGCATTTATTATGAATTTAATTATTACATATAATAAGGCATAACAACATTTCAGTATTTTCCAGGAACTATTTAATTGTTAACTGAAATGCAGAGTGAGTTACTTCAAATACAAATTCAACTTCATTAATATTTGCCTTTTTTATCAACTAGAATTTCCTACATTTATTTATTATTTTACCTGGAAATCTCTACCACACATTAAAAATATCTGATTTTTTATTGAAATTAACAATACGTAAGCTATTAATAAAAAGAAGCAGAAAACAGCTTTTTATAATAATCTATGTCAAATGTCGGAAAATTATTAGCTTTATTTCTTGAAGAACACTTAAATTTGCCTCTTAGGTTAATTCTAAAGATCGCAAAATGCGCTGAATATGTCTCACAATTGGAATATATATGTATAACGGTACTTCAGTTATGTTAAATACGCTGCTTTCAACTGATAGCAAATAGCAGAGTTGAAACATAAAATGTACACACAGTTCCATGGTTACTATGTAACTATAGAGTGGAAATTTATTGACCTATTTTGCCACTTGGCAAATGTTGCTTAAAGCAAGATTTAATACAAGTTTCAATAGGGCCCACCAGATGAAAGAGTCTGCCAGAGTTTGAAGACAGGAAGTCTTAACTTTGCCAACACAATGTTTAAATTTTGAGAAATTCATAACCGGCGGCAATAAAATTTTACATCATTTGAAATTGTAGAAATTAGATTTAAGTAAAGAACAATATAATATAATATAATATAATATAATATATAATGTACTATGATGTACACAAAATTAGAAATAGAGAATATGAATAGAAAACGATTTATTGTAACGGTATATTTATTGCAGGTGGACAAAATGCTTCAAGAACTAATATAATTCATAAATATTAAAAAAAGGTGAGCTATATTGCTGAAGCAACATTATTTACATTACTGCAAGAACTAACATAACCAATTTGGACTCTATAAACCTAAGCTATGTAAGAGCTTCCTTTAAAAATTTTATATAGCTCGTGGTTACATAATATTTTATTATGTTATAAATAGGCAAGAAATTGAGCACCACAATATGCTTCAAGAACTAACATAATTTATGTTCTATAAACTTAAACCATATTGCTGAAGCAACATCAATTATATTACTTCAGAAACTTACGTAACAAATTTGTGTTCTACAAACCCGAGCTATGTCATAACTTTCTTTAAAAAAGATTGAATAAGCTGCGGTATTACTATATTTTGAATATGCGAGAACCTCAGACATTGCGCATTGGCAAGATGTTTTAAAAACTAGCATAATTTGTGCTCAATAAATCAGAGCTATGTTAGAACTCTCTTTGTAAAAACTAACATAGGCTGCTGATGTATTATATTTCAAAAAGGTGATAAATATCGATATTGCGAATTAACACGATGCTTCAATAACTACCATAACCAAATAATGCCCAATAAACATGAGCCATATTACTGAAGAAACTATATTGAGAATTATATTGATGAATGTACCAATGCTACTTCATAAACGTGACTGTACATAATTGTACACCTTTTAAACGCACGACACTAGACTTTAATTTAAACTGCAGCACTATTTCGAAATATTGATTATTTAGTAGAAAAATGAATGAATTGTTATTAATATAAAAATAGTACAGGATATTGTTTCAATGAAGTATTTACACATAAAAAAGGAACTTCATTTTTCCCTGAAAATGTGCCCATGCATACAATAGTAGAACAACGTGTACTAATTTTAAAAAAAAATTTCTGATTTTCGTTAACAAGTGACCAAGTGTTAATTAATAAAAGGAAATTTTTCACTTTAAAATAATTAAAAAAAATTTCTTTGCAATTAAGGAAATGTATAAAAATAAATAAAAAAAATACTCCTTTTGATTTCAAGTTGTAAAAATATTTAATATTTTTATTGCATATTTTAAGAAACATTTTAAAATAGTACGACATTAAATAGCTTTTTTCACCATTTCTACGCTCAATATTTATTTTGGTATTTGAGATTTTAAAATAATGTCCACTTTTTTCTCATTTTATGACCCAGAGTAAATTCACCTGTGTAAGTACTTAAAAATATCGCCAAAGTAAAACTCTAAAATTCCATCTGAGCTTGCCAAACGATCGTTTTATATGCTTTAGGCGGAAAGTTGCCTCCATTCTTTTCACTTGGGGAAAGAGAAAAAAAACATTCTATGGGAATGGATATTTTACGAGTGCCAAGGCACGTTTACAATAGTTACCCCAGGGAGCATAAGGTACGTGTACTTTAGGCTACCAACATTACCAGAGTTGAGCAATCAATAACCATTAAGTTTCTTTCCTTTCCAGTAATGGATACGACTGCTTTCCACTTTGGTTTACAAGGTAAGAATGTCTTCAAGAGAAAATCCCAGTTTGTAAATTTCAGATTTAAAAGAAATAACTGATGTTCCTGCTATTAAACATGATCTAAAGTTTACATTCAAACCATGTTTTGTTTTCCTGAAAAAAAGACAAACGATTCGGTTTAGGTTTATATGTTCGAAAAACCTTCAGCAAGTATTTAAAAACGCTTAGCTTAACAATAGGGAACGCAGTAGGAAATTTTAAGTCACTAATTTTTTTGTTCGATGATCTTTAAAAATTCAAGTCTTTCTTTTTTAGTAACTAAGTTTTCCGAATGCCAAATACAAAATGTTTGAATATAAGACTAATCAAATAAGCAGAAAAAAATGTAAGCTAGACATTTTTCTCTATTATGTTTGCATAAAAATCGGCTTTGAAAATTAAGGTAAATGTATTAAATTAGTTTTGAATTTTTTTTATCTGAAATAATTCCTAAAGGTAGAAATCTGATAATAGCGAACAGTTTAACTAGTTTGGATGCATAACAATCGATAGAGAGCCTTTTATTTGTTCTTACACGTGAAATTAATAAAAAATAAAAATATTTTGATTTAGACTTCACAATATTTAAAAAACAGAAGATTTGAGAATTTTTTTCTCTTCTCTTAAATCTCTTTTTTCAAGTTTTAAGTATTACTTATATAAATATTTATTGAAAAATTAGTCACTCATGTTTTTCTAAAACGCTTTCTAAACATATTTTGTACTAAAACGCTTTCGGTTAAATTAATTAACAGCTGAAACTTAAATTGTGAAGTCTAACAAAAATTGTGATCTACGGGATAAAATGAGATAAGTTTTAGTAGATTAATCATTCATTTTGTCTAAAACTCAGTTCACAGATATAACACAAATATTCACGAATATTCACACAAATATTCATGAATATTCACACAAATATACACGAATATCACCCTGTAAATTCGATTAATGACAGAAAATAGTAATTTTTCTTTGTAAATTTTCATCACACGGAATTAAATTCAAGAATAATCACTTTTTTAATGCATAATTCATACATAATTGTAAACGCATCAAATAATTTTGACAAATAAAACACATCAAATAATTTTGTAATGCAAAGATTAAAATAATTATGCTTAAAAATATGAATGCTTTGATAATATTTAATTTTTAAATAAAGAAAAAAAAATTCAAATCTTGTTTCATTGGTACCGTAAGTTTTCCCGAAATCAAAGATAACCTCTTACATCTCTAAATCAGTCTTATCCAATTTGTCCCAGCCCTGCCATGGATTGTTCGTAAAGAAACAAATCCTAGTAGAACACAGAGCTTGAGTATCACTGGCAGCGGTCTTGCATAAAATCAGATTTGCTAAAATAATAATAAAATAGGTTTCTGGAAAAGGAAAATATTCTCATTCCCGCATAAGTCAGTAACACTTACACAACTGTGCATTGCGAAAGAAGGAATGATCAAAACTACTAATAACTATATAATAAAATTTAGAGCATTTCTGACTCAATTGGCTTGAACAAAAAGATCCGTAATTTTATTTAAGTATATTGGTAATGATCTTCGTAAGCTTAACAATAAAATATACTTTCATAAATACATGATAAAATTTGGTAAATGTGGTAAAATTGGGTAATTTTATCAGAGAATAAAATGAAAACCAACATTTTGGTTAAATTTACTTCTCAGATTCGAATTTCTGATAAATGAGTAGTAATAAGAACAAAAATTTTAAATACGGAATTAACGGTAAACCATTAGGGGAGGGTAGCCTAAAGCGGGTAAGTCGCCTAAAGCGGGTAGGCATTCGTATCCCGCCGCATGGCTTGCAAGCGCCGATATCCAAGTATACCGTGATTACCCGAATACTCACGAGTTTCAATCAGTCCTAGCGGAGCAGAAGTAAAGCGACATGGCGTAACCAAGCACAAAATAAAAAAATTAATAAGTTTATTAAAAAAACTCAAGATATGTAACTTGTGGCTAGTCGAAAGCCGGCTTATTTTTTTTTTATTGTCAATATTATTATATTATTCTAACACTATTCCCCTATAAACTACGATGTTAAATTTTTTTTAAATTTTTTTTTATTTAAGGTTATAACTTTTTTAGTGAAAAATATGCTTTTGGGCAAAGCGGGTAGGACAAAGCGGGTATATGAATCTCACAAATATATTGAGGCCCTTGAATATGCTAGACAAAATAATGTAATTTTTGTTATGCATGTAACCTCTCATCGCATGCAACCTCTGGACCGTTGCGTTTATGGACCGTTCAAAACTTACTTTGAACAAGAAGTTTCTATTTTTCAACGAGGCCATGTAGGTAGAATAATTACTCAGTACGACGTAGCTTCACTTGTTGGAAAAGCATATTCAAAAGCAGCTAGTGCACAAAATGCTGTTCAAGGATTTAAATCCTCAGGAATATGGCCCACGAACCGACACATATTTAGTGATGCTGACTTTTTGCCAGCTAGTCTGACAGACAGGGCTGAAGTTATTGAAAACACCAACGATAGCCCATCGCAGATCCAATCTACTGATGCTGGTCGTCTTTCTAATAATTCTGATTGCTCTACTTCTACATCTGTATTTGAAAACGTGGATCACAATTACTCTCAAGCTTCAAGGATTTCGCTACGACGCACAAACGGAGAAACTTCGTATGATCCAGCTGT